CGTGTAGGGCCTGGTGGTTAGTACAGGGGTGGGGGTATCGGTTCCCCTTACTCCCAACATTCTGCCTGCTCCTTTGCCTCAGCTATTGGGGCAAGAAAACTATGTAAAGGTTCCGGTATATCCCATGGAGGCACAAAGCTCCCAAGTAAAATCTTACCTCTTCCCCCCAAGCACCTCCAGTTAGGGAGCCTAAGGGAAGAGACTAGTCAGGCAAAATGCAAGTTTTCTCTCCAGCTGTCTCTCTCCTTCACAATAAATCCACAGAGGATACCTACCCACTTCCCACACTTATGACACCTGCCTTTTACATAAGAAATGCATTTTATAAATGTTCATGTAATGATGCTTCATGAATTTTAATGAGAAGTTTTATTTCTTCACCCCAAATGCCCTATAGAGAATACTTAAAATTACTCTAATTTTAAAGACAGAACTATTGGCATAAAAATATTAGCATTAAGCCAAGGCCACACATAATAACAAATAATAACTTTTGTCCAGTGATTAAAGTTAATTTCTATGCTCAGACTACTCTTGAAAGTATTATAGTTTGTTAGAGGAAACTATTGTATACTTTTAAAGCAGACATGAATTTTTCTCAGGATTCTTTTGCATTTTTTGTTAGAATCAGGATTCATATATGAAATGTGATTTATAGACATGCTATATGAGAAGTAGCAGTTCATTTTTGTCCCTTTTTTGTACAGGTTTCTCTTCTTATACAATTTCTGATTGAAAATTGCTGTCAGATATTTGGAGAAGAAATCACTTCCCTCTTGGGAGAGGTTTCAGTGAGATGTGATACTAGAGAGAATGCCTCAGGTATTGTGAATAATTGGTTTGTTTTTTGTGGGAAACAGACACACATCTGTGAAGATCAGCTGGGACAGTGGTTATCCTGGAGCCCACAGCAGCTCAGGTGAAGGGGGCCTCTCACCTGGGTTAGTGGGCCTAGGACTTCTGCTCCTTCCTTAGAAGGCCTGCTAATAGGTCAGAGTATGTTAACACTGTGGTAGGGTTAAGAAATGTATAAGACAAGGTCCCAAACTCCAAGAAGTTGTTAGTGGCAGCATTATATGGTATGATGTTTTTAACCTTTCTTTAAATAAAACTTTACAAGGAACCCCAATATGAATAACACAGCTGCTGTGGTTGAAACTGGAGTAGAAGGCCCAGAGGCAGTAGAGGCAGCCCTGGTTTTTTTGCTCCTCACCTTCCTCCTAGAGGTCCCTGAGACTTCTCAGAATTCTAGTACACTGCAAAAACACTTTAAAAACAACTAGCATCATGGGGCAGGCCAGGGTGTGTTAGGGGTAAAGACATTCAACGTTCCAGATTATGAATTCCTGTACCGCCAATTATTAGTTATGTTACCTTTGGCCAATTATTCTATGCCACTGAAAATCATTATCTTCGTTTATAAATATGGATAAACCATAATATCTAACTGTGATGGTTGTATTAAAGATTACATAAAGGATAGTAAAAAAAACTTTGTCAAATAGAGATTGTTAGGGTAAGTAAATGGTATCTCTGAGACTAGAGTTAATTATGTATATCCACCAGCTAATCCATTTAAAAGACAAGAGTCTTATTCAGAACCTGGGTATATCTGGCCTTAATTCCTTTATATTTTTAACTGTTTCTTGGTATCTCCTCATTGCTTTGAGGAAATCTTACTTAAGGAAAGCCCATTTATTCAGGAACTGAGGTAAATCTATTATACCCCAACAGTTTATTTTTAATTCTGCACTTACTACTGGGAAGATTGTGAAAGATCCTTTCTTTAGAGTAGGAATTTGAACAATCTGCATGAAAACAGAATTAAGCTAAACATCATCACAGTTGGGTAAGTAAAAACAATAATCATGATTCGCTTTTTCAACAGATATCTCTTGCTTCCAACTGAATGACTCCTCCTATGACAGCTTGGAGAATGAGCTGAATGAGGATGTTGACGCCCCGTGTAGTGACTTGGTAAAGAAACTTGGTCAGGGTAGCAGAAGCATGGACTCCGTGTTAACCCTCAGTGACTACGACCTCGACCAGCCTGAGGTAGAAGGTCTTTTAACCTTGAGCGACTTTGACTTAGACCATTCTAAAGATGAAGACATTCAAATGGAGCAGCCTCTTGAATCCAAGCCAGTGAACATTGCAGTGTACACAAAGGAACCCCTGCAGGATCATACCAGGGCCCCCTCTGGCATGAGCACGCCCAGCCACCTGTCCACAACTGCAGCAGATGCTCCAAAAAGCTTGAGGCGACACCGGCGCTGCTCAGAGCCCAGCTACGACTATCTAGATTCAAAGCTTTCCTATCTCAGGGAGTTTTATCAGAAAAAGCTACGCAAGTCCAGCTGTGATGCAATTCTCTCGAAAAAAGATGAGAGTCATCTGAATCAGAATCAACCCCTCCAGGAAGAGGGTAAGACATGTTTTAAAAAGAGTTTAGTCATAGACACTGATATCAAGAAAAATGCCACTAATAAAAAAGTTAAGAAGAAAAGCTTGTCTGATAATGAAGGAAATCATGTAAAACTTTTTCCTAAATCCAAGCCAGTAGCTATTTCCATGGCATCTTATAGTCACATGTCCTCATGTGATCATCCCAGGAACCAGACCTTTGATACAGATACATCTGGATACTCCCCACCACACACAACAGATGCCCTCAAGAGTTCAAGGAGGCACCGGCGATGCTCAGAGCCCAACATTGATGACCAACACTGCAGACTGACCTATCTCAGGGGGATTCATTCAAAGAAACAACATAAAGCCAGCTATGAAGCCAATCTCTTGCATGGAGAGGAAGATTATCTCAAGCGGCACAAGTCTTTGCAAATGGAGGGGCAAAAGCTTATTAATCAGAGTTTGGTCATGGGGATTGAGGTGGGCAAGACTAGTGCCACAAACCAAAACACTGATAAGGTTTTACCCCCAAGATTAAACATTTGCTCAAGGACTAGCTATTCCAGCTTGTCCTCCCCAGGCACTTCTCCATCTGGCTCATCAGTGAGCTCCCAAGACAGTGCTTTTTCTCAGATTTCTGAACACTCCGTGTTTACACCCACTGAAACTTCCTCTCCAATAGATTGCACTTTTCAGGCTCAAAGAAAACAGGAAGAGCTTTCTTCTGACTTTAGCAATTCCAGCCTCATTTCTGGAATTCCTGGTCCCTCATCAGGGCAGGCCAGCGGCCACCTGGCTTATACAAAAAAGGACAGTGTAGAGTGGCATTTACAAATGCATTCTGTAACTCTTCACCCCAGCACATGGTTGAGAAATGGAGTAGCCAGTTTGAAAAACTGGTCCCTCAAAAAGAAGGCAAGGGCACCCAGACCAGAGGAAAATAAAATAGGTTCTCTAAAAGGACACACGGAGCCTCCTCCACATGCTTCTGGTGTCCCAGAAGCCAACGCACTGCATGAGAGACAGAAAGACAAGCCCCGAAGGGCGGCTGAAGGACTTGGAGCTGTGCAAACAGCCCGCTGGTATAGTTCTTACCCCACCCAGGACTCAGAGAAACACTGTAGCTCTCCAGTCAGCCTAGTGGAAGACAGACTCGGGCTTTGTATGAAGTCACCCGAGGAAGGAGAGATGAGTGGGCAGTGTTCTCCTGGTACTCTGCCTCACAGAAGATCCTCACCCAGCTCTTTGACTGTGGATCATGTGTGCAGCCCAGACTCAGGGCCTACAGTGGTTTGTGATGTTGAGGACAGACATTTGACCAAAGACATTTAACCACAATAAGAATCTGATGTCTACAAGAACAGAAACTGGGCTAATCATGATATAAAGATAATAATTATTATGACCTCTTTGTGTAAAATACCTGGGATGGGTAGCATAAGGATAATCATTGCTAATACTTAGGACAACAAAAGAATTCTCTTTATTGAGACTATTTGGCAAAAAGTTTAGACTAAAAGCTTTTGTCACCTAAGTGTTTGGGAGGCTTTTCCTTATTAGAGCATGGTTTGATCCTGTCATGCGTTTTAAGAGCTACAAGCAGAGGGCTAGAGAAAGCATCTTCTGTAGAGGAAACATGCCATGTATGATGAAATTAGTAACCTGAGAAAGCCAGGAAGTCAAAAGTGAAGAATAGGAACTATAGAGAGAGGGAAGGGTGCAGAGAAACCATCCACATTCCATGGAATGTGTTTAATAAGTAGGCAAGAAAAATGACACTAATCAAAGCTACAGAAGGAAAACATGTTCAATAATAAAAGAAATTATTTGAAACTTTTCCCCAAATCTGAACCAGTGGCCATTTCTGTGACATCTTATAGTCAGTCACATGCCCTCACAACATCATTTCAGGTATTAGCCCATTGATGCAGCTAGAGAGGAAGAAAACTACAGTGATTCAAAAGCCACGAGTACCATGATATAATAGTTTTTGTTTGTTTGTTTTGTTTCTTTGGTTGTGTTGGTTGTGCTTTTCCATTAGTGTTTCATTGCTCCGCAGAGGTTCCAGGACACAGAACTGAGGAGAAAGAAGGAGATGGTTGCTCATTTCAGTGTCCTTGCAAGGTGCCTGAGCTAGAAACATTCTCCAGAAATGCATTTTTCCAATTATAAGGTGACCTTCTAACTGTGTTTGCTGTCTTAGTGTGGAGGAAAAAACTGCCACACCTTTCTCTATTACACGATTGCTATTGCCAACGTGTGATCAAAGCATGGCTCCTCTTTGTTGAAATGTTTTTCTGCTCCTTGCCTCTTAGATTAGTCAGCCGGAAAAAATTACTGGTAAATCATCCCTTTTCTGATTGTCACTTGGCAGTTGAGAACAGTTTTGAGGTTGGCAGGTTATAAAGAGTCACAGAATAGAGGGACCATAAGAGTGGCTGTCAGGCCTCCTTTCAGACAGTCATCTGCTTTGGATTTTCTTACCTACAGAAGTTTTTACATATTCTTTGTCCCAAATGATTCATTGTTTATACCCCATTGGTTTATTTCATATCCATGGACATTTCTCCTCTCTTGCCTTAAAGTTTATACCAGTACCTCTCCTGGATTATTTCCATGGATTATTTGGCCTTGCCAGCCAGTGTGAAGGGGTAGAATCAGAAATGGATGTGCATCTTCCTTCATTTTAAATACTTACTTAAAAGAAGTTGCTTAGAGCCCATTTGGTTTCTTTAGTTCAGTGTCAGATGGACCTTCCTCCCACAAATTTGCTTATTCCAAATTATTTTTCTCAGCCACCTAGAAACTTTCATGTCAAAATATTCTTTCACTGTTGTCCTAAAGGTTGCGTTTTTCAGTTATAGAAAAAAAAAAATAATGTTTTCTGTAAGATAGAAGAAGTCCTTTCAGTATTAGCTCTAGGTGCTACCTACCTCTAGGGTACATGGCCCTGTTTGTCCTAAGCATTATAATTAACTTTTAGAACTCTCTCCAAAGAGCTCCTTTATGACACTGGCCATCTCAGTCACAGATGTGAAGTAGATTTTACCTTATAACTAACCACTCCTATATTTAGACTCCTAAGTGTCCATAGGCATCTTTTGTGGTATAATATATAAAGGCAACAGGGATTCCCCTCACCCTTAGGGCATACTACTGCAGAACCACAAGATGTGAATGAAGCTCTTATGGCTTGGAGTGTCTTTCTAGAAGAAATTGCTTCTCTACTTAACAAAATAATAGTTCTATCCTTTTTGCTTTCATATTGATGGATAGGAAATCATCCACTCAGTTTGAAGCATGGAAGAAAATAGATGCTGAGGTTCTTCAATAACCATTCCTACTCTCTGTGTTCCCTTAGATACTCCTGTAACATTTAATGTGAATAGTTAATATTGCTGTAAAGTATTATATTGTATGATTTGAAGACAGACTACATGTCATTTTATTATACTCTGTCAATCTATAATATATTAGACCAATGCTTTATCTAAAATGCATTTGAGTTTGTATAATATATCTTGACAAATTTTACTACCATATGTTATGTAATAAATGTGTATTTTTGTACTTGCAGAAACTGCTGCTAAATTTTAAAGTTGTTTGGTTTTAAAGGCACTGATAATGGATATGTATGAAGTCCATTTTGTCTATTAAATAAAACACCATTCTTCAGAGTTAACAGTCCCACCAGAGCAATATTGCCCTTTGTAGACTCGTTTTAGCCAATGAGCCCAATTTCTGCTTAACATTGGAAATTTCATAAAATGTAATTAATGTTGAATTGGAACTTTGAGCTTTTAGTCATAGGCCATGGTCAGTATCTCTAGAAAAAGAGGTTT